AAAACGTAGAGAACGTTCGAGAAAGTCACGCAACGCATGAAAGCAATTTTAGTACGTAACACTCAACAAAGACAAAATGTTTTTTTGCAGCATTTTGTAACTTTAAATTCATCATAAAACAGTTCGAAAGGAGGGCTCACTCGTGAAATGTTTTTCAACACTCGAAGAGAAATTTCGTGTCTCTGCGCGGCCACGAAATATCCTCTATTTATTCCTCGAGTAATTAAAGACTAAACTCGAAGTGATCTCAAGATATCACGAAGTAGTCCGGTCTCATTTCGCGAAATAGTTGAAACAAGCCGAAAAGTCACGAACTTGCACGCCCAATCTTGTCCCGAAACTAGTGTATCATTTCATAACTATTTTTCATATTCCAAACTACCTTGGGTCGCAGTAGCGCAATCGGCTAATCCCTCAACTTAGAGTCTCCTCTGATCTGACGGGTCACATAGGTGAGTCGGTTCAAACCCCGGGAAAGCCAAAATAATAATTCTTTCTTCCTCGAAAAAGTTAAAGAATAAATCAAAGAAATCGAAGTGATCTCGAGATATCTCAAGTTAATTCGGCTCTCACTTCGTCAAATAGCCGAATAAAACCGAAAACCTACAGACTTTGCATGCCCAAACTTGTCAAAAAATTGTAACTTTGATACATTCCTGAGCGTCGCGAAACCTTTACTTCGCGCTCCGCCGAAGTAATTATATGGAGTCTAGTGCTCTGATATCTAGGGTGCACAGCATGAGATGAATGCAAAAACTAAGAGTTTCTAGTTACCCAAGGGCAGGAGTAAGTTTTCAGTGGCCAAAAGGTGCTACTAGAGTACAGCCCTGAGTACTTTAACATAGCACAGCTATTTTTAGTATGTAATTAGTTATAATTCACCAGTTCGTGGCCGTCATTTATGCTGCAGATTCCTCACAGCCTCACATGCTTTAATTAAGCAAAGAAGCAAAACAAAGTTTGTCATTAAATATAATAGTTATTTGTGATATGTTTACAAAGGGTTTCGTTTAGCGTTTGTTATCACTATAGTCCCTTAGGTGGTTGTTAGTGAGTGGTGTATCACGAACCTCACTCGTGGTTGGTGGGTTTTGAGCCAAAGCATTATTGGCATTATTAGAGAAAAAGAGTAAAATAATAATACCCTCATTCAGTCAAAGAAGACTATCGCCTTATGAAGACCTGAAGCATGCAGTTGTAATATCATGATTATCATGAGACAAAAGATAAATGAAAACTTTTAAAAATACCTTTTCCCTACCACTGCAGAGTGGACAAAGGCAATCACTTGTAGGCAGTATTTTTTTAAAAATAGCATTGACATACCATGTACTGAACAGTATCTCCGATTAGCTTCATAGATGTCTGGTATTTATTCCAAGCAGCATTCAGTGTATCCAAGAAATTGTTATTGATTGAAACCACAACATCTTTGCGGATCTTAAAATAGGAAAGCAAAAAGGAGAATACATGACCAAAGAGAAAAATACCAAAATGAAACACACTCTCACAAACTGATAGCCATTTGTCTGCCACATGACAATGCAACAGCACTAATTATTCTGTGTTAGAGAAATTCATTTCTTGCCATTTCTACAAGCTCAGCTGGAAAAAAAAACAACAACAACCTTGTTTTTCAAAAGCGGAAAGAAGATACTGTACCTTTTGTATAAGATGATCTGTAACGACCTGCTTGAGCCCAGAGTATAATCTTTCTCCATGCTTATGTAGAACCATAGTGTAAACATTCCTACCAAAAAGTCAATTTAACGTGAAAAGAGAAGCCTGACCAGAGCTTACATAACTCTTTAAGTAAGAGATAAAGTCCGAGAACGGAGGTATTAAGCCATATACATGGCCCGAGGGATGTATATGGATTAATACCGACGTTCGAGGGGTTTATCTAACTTATTTCATGATATTATTCATGAGGTATAGGTTACATAAAGGTCGTCTTTCACAGAGCAATAATTGGCCACTTGTTTTTGACATCCGTTTGTTTGTCATTTTTTGATCCGACCGCAGACAATGACGTATTTCATTGTAAGTATTGTAAAGGTTTTCACACAGCATCGAGAAAGGGCGTTTCATGGGTCATAATTTGTTCAAACCACTTGTTCTCACTTAGGTGAGAAACGGAGAACAATAGCGCATTGTTTGTTTGCTTAGCCGACAACAATCAAATTTCAAACCTTTTGTGTTTTTTTTTTTGTCTTGGTATTTTTTGGGGGACCAGTACACTTGTGAGAGCGGCAACGCAAAATACTTTCTCTCAGGAGCCTTTTTCTCCTGAGTTGCATTTGGAAGAGTTAGTGGGAGACTTTAGAAAACAATGTATTCTACCTCACTCCACGACAGAAATACAAGTCTACGGATGAAGGTATGATACCTATAAATATAGATCATTGACAATTCGGGTCCAAGAGGATAAAAATGTCAGTCAGTTTTAATGGTCGCAAGCCGAAGACGGTAATTAGAAGTTTCAGTTTTGTTTCATATTTTTATTTTCACTGTTAATTTTTGCAGTTTCGTTTACATCGACACCTGTTGGACATAACAAGCTTGGAAACGTTGTTAGCAAAATGTGTAAAGACGCAGACCTACAGGGCCAATTCAGCAATCATAGTCTGAGGGCCACAACAGCAACACGTGGACTGGAAAAAGGAATCTCAGATAAGTTGATTATGGAGCGTACGGGCCACCGAGATATCAGACTTAAAATTTTCTTAGAGTGAACACATAGCCTGTATGATATATGGGATACTACTGTATTTTCTATAGTTGCAGAATAAATTTCT